ATGTAACGCCAATGGGTAAGATCAACTTCCAGATTTTACACAGCTCCCCTTTCTTGCTCCACTATTCACTGATTATCCCCCTACTGTACCTTCCCTCTTTCTTTTTGTACAGGAAATCCCAACTCCTTCAAACCTAACTCAGAGATAAAGACATTTTACAGAACTTAGTCAAAATATTCCAAAAGCCCTTAGCTTCCAATGTTTCTTATGAATAGCTGCTTAATTATCAGTCAATATAATTAACCACACCTACATTTTCAGAATTAAAATTAAACTGGAAAAAACATCACTGCTCATATTGTATTGTCACTCATGTTTTTCCTTTATTAGTCCCTCTATGCTGCACCCAGAGTAAATTCTTAGACTCTTCTTTTTCACTAATTCTCTCTTTGGCTGTATTCCATATGTTGTTTAACCATTTACTGACTTTCTGATTTCAACTGTAATAATCTTCATTTCTATAAGCTCTTATTGACTTTCAAATCTGTCTCGTAATCTTTCATTCATATTTTCTGTACCTGTTATTATGTAAAGCTCTTCAATATTCCAACAGATATAGGTTTCTGCTATTTAGTGTTTCAGATTAACTCTTATTCATGGACAATCCTTGTATTTTCATGCATTTTATGATTTTAGATTGTGAGCATACATTCCATAGAACTTATTTCTGGGAAACATATGATGTGTAAACTGACAATGTGATACTCCTCCAGAAAGGACTGGTGGTTATTTCTGCCAAGCACTTCAAGGCACTACCAACTCAAAAATACTTTAAAATAAATTCTTACCTGAAAGGTTTTCAGACCACACAGGTAGCACAGTTCAAGCCCTAAATCCTTATGAATCTAGCCATAAATCAAACTCAATTATTACTCAACTAAATATGCCCAGATTTATCAATCTAGTATACTTTTAAACTTACTTCCTACAGGAAACTTATTTTAAAAGAACTTATAATTCACAGTTGTTCCCACTAATTTTTATAAAATACCACAAAAAATAATATCTTACAAGTAAAACTGCATTCATATAAATATTTTATCGGTTTATTGAGGCAAATTAGAAAGTAAATGTATTTTAAGTATCTTACCTGTTCAAGTGCTTGGGTTTTTGCTTGCTCTATTTTCTTTTTTGTTTCTTTTTCAGCTTTGAGTGATGATGATGACACAGTTTTAACAGACATAAAATCAACAGTCATCCACTCATCCCTCTGTTAAAAAAAAAAGAAAGTCATTTTGATCTAAATTAATTAAAAGTTAATACTAAACACTTAGTAGAAAGAGTAAGCACTACTCAGGCAGTTGAACCTAGATTGAATCCTACATGACTATTTAACTTAAAGCAAGTTTCTTAGTCTCTCTAAGCCTTATTCTCTCCTCTGTAAAATAGAATAAAACCCCTACTTTTCAATAAACAAGAAAACAAGTTTAAGGCATCCAGATCAGAGTCTGACACATAACAGACACTCCAACATTAGTTCCTTTCACCATTCTTTCTTCCCTGTGGCTGATAGCATATAAACAGCATTTCTTCCTCAAGCAAATGAACAATAACCCAAAATCTGTGAACTAGCCAATTCTAAGTATTGCTATGAAAATTATGACATGAGGAGAAGGAAAAGAAAACTGTGATGAAACTCTACTCACAGTAGAAAGGTCAGATAAAGATAACAGTACAGGCCTCAGTACACAGGAGAAAGTGCCCCTGCTCTATCGAGAACCAGAGGCAGGAAACTTTCTAGAGGAATTAGAACAGAGATGAGCACTTACTTTCTCACAGGAGGAGGAGGGGAGTCTAAAGGCTCAGCAAACAGTATTACTGCCAAAAGTATTTATAAAAGTATATGGTTTTCAAAGTCTAATTTTTCTACTTAATAAATTAAAATCATCTTTCATTTAATACTAATCTATTCTTACAAGTTGATACTTCTTTGTTTAAAATCAGGTGGCTTACCTGAATATCTTGGTTGTCTTCTTTTTCTGACTTTTCACCTTTCAGTTTCCAGGCCTTTTCCTTGCCAGAAGTCTGGGGTGGAACAGCCTCAACCCACTCATCTTCAGAGCTCTAAGAATATTTAGCATATAAGTAAATTTTCAAATGTCCACACTTTCATATGAAAATTGTGTGCTGTTAAATAGCAGAAATTCAGCTTCCTAGAGAAAATTCAATACTATAATTCCCCTTTGAACAATTACATTGAAAATTTGAAGAAAGAACATGTTAACTATTTAGGAATGTGCTCATGAAGCACCAATCAGATCACTTCTAAGTTCTTAGTAGTATATTATTAAGCCAAAGGAAAGCCAAACAGAGAGATCAGAATGCTGGTTAAAGAACTCACTTCAACACAGAACTGCAGTTCCTACCACATCAAGTAGAACTAACATCTTTGCTTAACTAGAACAAAAGGAACAACACCCAACTAAATGAGTTTGCCTCAAAGTCTCAACTGTTGAGAGTTCTCTAGATCTAAAAATGCTCAGATCTCAGTTAACAGCTAGGCTGGAAAGCATTTTGCTTACTGAGTGTAAGTAACAGATTGTTAAATTAAGTGGCATTTAGTCAACATAATCTAAGTGCTCAACAGGTTTTAGGGTTTGTTTTCAACAAATATATCCATCAACTCTTCCATGTTAAGTACCAGAATAAGTGTTACATATGTTATCATTTTGACTCCTTAAAACAACCCAACATGAAATATTATTTTGGTTTTACAGACAAGAAATTAAATAACTTTCCCAGGTTCCATGGCATCCAAATAGGAAAACCAAGATAGAAATGCAGGTCTGTCTGGCTCTAGAATCCATTCTTTAGAGCTGTACAACTCAAGTGTAGGAAAGATCCTAAAAGTCACCCACTGCAAACCGCTTGTTAGTGCACAGCAGAGAAACTCTGAGCCAACGAGGAAAAAGTGGGTTTCCTGAATGAAACCAGGATTCCTTTGTTCCACAAAGTTCCTAAAAATTACCTAACTAGAGAACGAAAAAATATGT